TCTGTGGTTTACGCGCTCTAATTGGCTTCTGACAAAGCTATGAGATGAAATAAGCTCTTTTCATAGGTATTTTGTTTGACGGTTGGAAAATCTTTGCGTTTTTGTGCCGTTTTTCAACCAAGTTCCAACCTTACTTTAGAGTTAGCACGATTTCGAGCTCAAAACTTAGCTTCTGAAGCCGTACAATGATATAAGCATATAGTATGTAGAAGTTCACAAGACTGAATATTTGGCTAGAAAAAATCAGCAGCGTTGAGGGTTTGTTTTGGCCACGCAGACGTCATTTAACCAAAAACACTGTTTTTACTATTGCAATCACACCTTTATTTGGTTTGTAGCACCAAAGCCTTAAGATCAGTTCTACAAAAAACCCAAAAGCTATGGCACAGAAACATCATCATGCAAACAATGCAGCTGCTTCATATCAAATGTTTGCGCAAGAGTGAAGCTGAGTTTTGAGGCTCGAAATCGTGCTAACTCTAGGGTAAGGTTGGAACTTGGTTGAAAAACGGCACGAAAACGCAAAGATTTTCCAAGCGTCAAACAATATACTTATCGAAAGAGCTTATTCTATCTCAGAGCTTTGGTAGAAGCTAATTAGAGCGCGTAAACCACAAAAAAACGGATGTTTTTAGAGAGCAATCACTCCAAAAGCATTTAGAGCCTTCTAAAAAAGTAACGGTCCTCTTTTTAAATTGCACTGGGTTCAGTGTGTAGCAAATATGTCAGACTTTGTTGCTGTAACTCTACAGAAAATTTGGACTCAAATGATTGCAATCTTGAATGGAAAATGGACCTTTGTTTGAGGTGTTCGTATGATTATGAACCGCTGAAAATTCGCATTAAGCGCAAAAACACTCCTACAATTGACATGGATTTCTCTTCTTGTGGATCATATACCGTTTTCGGCTGTGTTCTATCGCGTGGTACCAACGGCTTTTTGAGATTCTCCCAGAAAGTCCAAAAACTTACAAAATTTCGGGTGTTCGTATAATTATGAACCGCACTTTAGTTGACTGCGCTGTTTTCAAAGTTCTAGCTTTGATCCATCCAACGCTTACTTATCGTTAAACTCTACTTATGCAACATTTTCAAAGTGTCTCTTTCAAAAATATGGCTTCTGAAGTATTGGATCCAACCATGAGCTGCCTTATGCAAGACCAAATTGCAGTAAAAACATCTTTATAAGATGAAAATTGGTCAAAAAAGAGGCTGAAGAAAAGACCACACTGTTAGGTTTGCTTCTATGTGCACGTTATAACTATTAACTTTGATGAAAGTCAGCAGCAAAAATTCATAAAAAAATAGTTGGTGGTGGACTTAGCCAGTACACTAGCACTTTTTTTGCAAAACGTTGGATGAAATCTAGCACTTGTTGCGCTCGTTTAAAAACCGCGAGAAATAACACCCGTTTTCAACAGAAACAATTTTGTGCTATGCAACTGCAAAACTCACCTGAGATGCAAGACGACCATGACATGCAGCGTAGTATAAAAGACGTGCACTTCAAATTTTTAATTGAACTTGACTCAGTTTCTCATGGGCTGACAAAGCAATGAAATCTATGTGTGCAAAATAGAGATTTTATAAGCAATTTTTGCTCCCTTTGCATTGAGGCTATCAGGGTTACATCGATTAGAGGTGGAAGTATGTTGGGTACGAAAATAAAATAATAAACAATCATATTGGTCTTTCGCATTCAGGACCTCTTAGCCAGTCAATGCATCTGACCTTTCTTCAACCCCTTCTTATTATTGAAAGCAGCGTTCTCCCATCGCTGATACGGACTTCACCTTTCCTCTACTTTTTTCGGCATTTTGTGTCAATTGTTAAACGTCCTCGCTTATGCATAAGACAAAATATTGGTAGCGTACCGAATAGACTATTGTATTGAAAGAATTTTCATCAAAGTATGAATCAGTGTTGGACAAAAAAGAAGTGTTATGAAATTATCACAGTAGAGTGAGTTGAATGAACATAAAAAAGAAAATGAGCTTTGCAAAGAAATAAGAGCGAAAAACATCGCGGTAATTGAACTAATGAGTCGCTGTCAGGCGTACTAAGCTCAATTGAAAATAAGGCTCGTTACCTGTTCGTCAGAAGATGTGCAATCGGGGCAATTAACTTTGAATTTGCTCTTTCGCAATTATTTCATGAACATGAGACAAATAATTAGCAAACTTTCAAAGGATAAGTTTTGTTCCAGGTGTACGATTAGCTACTTCCCTCAATCGAACATTTCCATATAATCAGGTCCATCTAGGAACCTTGCACTCGCACTATGCTTGGAATTGGGAAGTTTGTTGCAGCCTCCAAGGCCGCATTCAAAATTAGCTATGCACCTATAGCAACCTTCTGCTCTTTACTGAATCATTTCATCATTGAATAATTGAGTCATTTGAAAGCTTTTTGGCAACACTGCAACCGCAATTGTGCGTTCGCCTAAATTTTTGTCCTTGGCTAATTTGTAAGGGACCAGTATGTTAGGAAATGCACTTACTATTTAAATCTTCGCTGTGACTTCAACGTGCAATTTGAGCAAACAAAGTTTTTGTAGTTACTGGCTTTCATTATTTCCATAAAACTTACTAATGTGCTCACAACATTAACCACTTACTGCTCATTGTTACACATTCATACTCTGTCTGAACATTTCCTTGTGCTCGTTTCCTTGTACTTCAAAAGGCTACAGACGTTTGACATCAAATCAACTTTGTCAATTTTGTGTGTCTCCTCATAAGCTTACCACTTTCAGTCGCAAGCGATGGACTACACAATTCATAGAATTGTGATTTTCGCAGGAATTGTATTTTTTACCATTGTTGGATTATATGGAAATATCTCTCTGATCGTTCTTCATATTCGAAAGCACAAGTTACGCACGAAATACGGTAAGAGTTTGATTATACGAAAGTAATGAGCTTCTTGTAGTTGTTTAAGCAGGTAAAGGTTCCAATAGCCTTCTAGCCTCAATAATCTCAATGCTCTCGAAGTAAAAGCTCAATTCAAGTTCAAAGTTCAAACCAAACCGAATCTTATTGTTAGGTTATGCCAAATTAAAATTTGACGCATGAAAGCTCAGCAAAAAGCCATGTTGAGCAGCTGCCATCTTGTTAAGCACTTGATTTTTTAGAAAAGCTTCGAAAAGTTTCCATGCTAGCAAAGTATAGCAAGTATAATAGTACGACAAACTCAGCATATGATCTTTATTGACACAAATATTACTTTGCCTATCGCGAAATGCTGATATCCCTTTTCATCACACAATATGAAAGGAATGGTTAGTCCAAAAGTTTATTTGCCACGTGGAAACCGGCGAACTTGCTTATCTTCCAATTTGCTCAGTCTTAAACTTGTAGAGATTAAAAGTCGTTTGCCCAGTAACAACCTCTTAAAATTTACAATGTTTATTCCAAAGATGAGTGCGAATAAGGTATTTTACAAATCCAAACCAGCTCGGCAGAATATCGCATAATTCCGAAAAATCGGGGAATTTAGCCTTATTATTTACTCCCTCTGACCGAAAAAACGCATGCTGCTAGGACATATTTGAGCAGATATGTGATTTTTGATAGAACTCACAAAGTAAGCTGCTTTGTAAAGTCGCAATGATCTAAGATTTTGAATAGATTCGAACCGACTTTGCCATCTAGAAGAGTGGGGCACAAAATTCAGGACACTGAGTGCCCTTGGATAACATTGAATAAATTGCCTACAGATAAGTACTTTGAAGGCCTGGACAACTTGAGAGCTGAAATCATCCACAATGGTAGTGATCTATCAATGAAATCACGAGGTAACCCATAAGAAGCCACGAGGTGGACATTCTTGCAAGGCAATGTCGTCACAGAAGGTTGAACTTCCACTTATAAAATCTGCAATCTAGAGTGCATTTTTATTATTGGTTCAATGATCATTCTTTACTAACAATAAGGAATAATCATTATGAATCAATAATGATTATTCCTTACTAACAATAAGCAGCTATACACTAAACATCGCATGTATATCACCAAATAAACCTTCTATGATAAGTGAGAGCAGTAACAAAACAAACAACGCAACAACAAAAAAACTACTACGACATAATCATGATTCAGTTACCATAGCAAGTGATTTCGATCACATACCGCCACTCCTGGACTTTGAAATGCAAAAGCTTAGGGCCTGCTGAACTGATCGAGTACTACTTCGAAAGCTTCTCGACACTTCCTTCAAAAGATATACAAAGCTTTGCGAGAGCATGGTTTTTTTTACATTTTAGCAAAGCCTGGAAATTGCCAAGGCAAAGATGACAGAAAATTGCATAGAATTAAGTTTGACAAATGTTCACACCAGTGGAAAAAGCGTAACTGGCGATTGAAGATGTAAATAAAAATGGCTTGTTTGCAAAACACTGGTGACGATATGATACAAATTGGTACGTACATGGATACGCGCGTGTAGGAGTCAACTGAGATGTTCCATAAAAAAAATCATGTGATTGAAGGTTCTGGCAAGCTTTTTTGTATAAATTTCCCGCTACCAAAAAATGGAGAAATGGCTCGTTTGCAACGCACAAATGACGATATGGCACGAAATTTGGTCTTTGCACACGCAGTGGGACTAAGGCACAAAGTATGGAATTATGAAAAATTATGTGATAAAGAGCTGCTTAACTTTTTTTCTGTCTAATGCCCACCTGAGTTAGCCAGAACTTCCATTTCACATAAGTTTTGAAGAAATTTGATCTACACCTAAAGCTTACAATATAATAACATTTCGGTTTCAAAACTCCTCCTCTTCTTCTTGTTAGGATCCAAATCAGCAACGAAGCCGGGCTTTGGAGGAGGAAAGCACGCTTGAATCGAATAACCTATGCAGCTGACGGGATCGAGTGTGAAATTGTAAAATCGATACAGGCAAAGGCGAAGTCTTTCACGAGTGTCTGTGTGCCACCCCCGTGCTAGGCCCCATCTCGAATACGGTGACGTGAATATCGTAAAAACAATGAGACGCTGATGGCACAAATGGTGTTCAGCTCTACTTCAGAGGCATTTACATTGACAGCGCCACCTGAATCCTACGGCAATCGTTACGCAGTCTAAAAAATTCGCTTAACTATGGCTTTCCGGTAACTCTTACATCACTTACAGGTCTTCTCATTTCGTGGCTATCGTTTTTCCAATCACTTTGCCTTCTTTTTGAGTGGGTCGGCACCATCTACACAGCATTGTACACGCCGACCGTAAGTGACTTGTTCAGCGCCTGTTTACAATGTCTGGAGAAAGCATTAAGGTTATTCGCTCTGTTTGTTTTCATCTAATATGCATTTATGTATTCGTACACTGTATGCAAACGGGCTTGCTAGCAACGATAGCTGTGGATCTCCTCATATCAATTGTTTGTCCATTGCTGTGAGTGCTTAATAGTTGGCAGGAGTTATCAGGAATGAGTACATACAAGAGCGCATCGACAAAAAATTCAAAACTTAAATCATAAGGACATTATGCGTGAATTGTTTCGCACCTACTTTTATAGCTGATCCTATTACCAGTTTCGACGCGAGAGGCTACTTTTTGAAAACCGCAGAAACTATGACGTTTTTTTTTAACCTAGTATTGTACTTGAACAAAGAAGAAGCGACCGGCATTTGAAGGATGTTTTCGAATAAAGAAGAAAAGCTAATCAATTTTATAACAGAAACGATGCATAACCAATTCTAGAAATTGATCATCTTTCAGACACCGTGTTTCAAGAAATGGACTGTATGTAGCGATAATGTCTCTGCCCTCCACAGTGTACGGACTCTTGTCAGTGGCTCTTGGTTTTGTTTTGAGTGATGATAATATAATTGTCATGTGTAATCCACCTTCCTCACTGCAAAAAAGAGCAAATGAATTTTGGTATGGAGTTGCATTCGCAGCGGGAGCAGTGACAATTATCAGCTACCTTCTTGCCTATTTCATTCTTTTTCATAAGAGTGAGTTGCTCAAATTATCGTGTAATTCGATACTACTCCGCAAAGTTGAGATACTCAAAGTCGTAATGTACTCAAGCAAGCCTTCGCTTAATGAAATCAAATGACCACTGTACATCAGCATAAATTTATTTTGCACTTTCCGCTCATATCCCCTGCCATTTATACGTAGCTCATGTTACCATTGATCAAAGTGGGCTGGTATAGGGCGTCCGCGCAGGGCGCGGAGAGTGCACTGGGTGTGCACTGTGTGTCACTCCTCTGTCCTCGTGCACCCTTGCCGCTTGTTTTCTCTGCTCTTCCTTCAGTCATAAACTATCATCAATGGTCGCAACAGTGTTGCTCTTCAAATACAGCGCGGACAGCCTATAATCAATTCCCAACTTTTTAGTAAGACTTTGCCCAGGAAGTGAAAAATCAACTTGAGGTCAGCCATATTGACCCCTTTTCCTCTTCGCCCCCACCCCTCACATGGGTCGCATGCATGGCGTAAACATCCTCGACGGGAGGGGTAGCGCAGCTTTGTTGAAGGAAAGTTTAGCAGGAAATGGTCAGAACTTAACCCAGCCATACCAAACAAGCTATATATCATCGGACTCGCCTTGAAACGCTGATTTTTAACATATGTTTACTATCTGCCAAGCTACTATCTAGACGGATTATGGGTGCTTGAATGTGCGATTTGTCTGATTTTCTGTGACGCAAGTTTCACGAAATGCATATCAAAAACACTTATCTAGGTTTTTGGTTAATTTGCTTCTTCCTTGTAATAAGAATGCCCATAACCACTATAAATCCGCGCCATCAGGCCGCCCTTCAACGAACTATACTCGTTGGAATTCGAATAATTTCTGGAATTTGAACGCTCATAACCCCGTCCAGATAGTTCCTTGGCAAATAATAAACGTATATTTGACAGCGTCTCAAGGCGAGCCCGGTGATAAAGAGCCTTTTTGGAATGGCTGGGTTAAGTTACCATTTCCTACTTAGTATCGTAAAGATCTAAGAGCAGGTCTTGGCTTGGAGTGGATGCTTGTGTGGGCAGCCCCCTTAATGTCTTTTTTGAAGTTGGAGAGATTACAATATCAAAGATGACTGGCAGTTTCGATAATCACTAACTCAGTCATTACCAGCTTGTAATGAACTTCGGCTTCTACTTATCTGTATGATTTAGTGCTCGAAGCTCTAGCCAGCAGCTTGCAATGCATTCGCACCGAGCTCGTTGACACTAAAATGCTTGTGAGAGAATAAATGTCTGAAACAACTGAAGAGAATGGATTGAAGGAGAAGAAATGACAGAAAATGGAAATCAACGTTTCAACGCCCGAAAGAATGCCAAAACTCAATATATTTTGCGGATGCCGGTCATAAATATGCTTGTTTGTAGATATTTGTTCCACTGCCTTGCAGCCACTCCTCCGAAAAACAAGCACAAATTGAAACGAGTTTGAGTTTTTGTCAGCCAAAGCGGAGTAGTATCGGTGTTCTATTGCTGATGCATGTTTTCTAGATAATAAGCATACAGATCAACAACAAGAGTTGGCTAGAAGATCGATGCGCAGTCTAAGCATCATATTGCTTATATTTTTACTGACACGATATACTGCAACCATCGGTGCTAATGTGATGAACATGGTAAATGCAGATCCCAGCGTGGTCACACTTTTTCAGAACTATTGTGTAAGTCTTTACACCCACTAAAAATAGTCTGAATAGTGTGTTGAATGAAAATGTTTAAAGTCGCGTTTCAACCAGCCTACTGGGCTAGCGGCTAGCTGATTGAGCGAAAGGCAGTCAACAAGGTTTGAGTGACTTTAGGCCCTGGGAATACCTCACGCGATTTTAGTCGCGACGTGATTTGGCAATACTCCAATTGTGCATAACTCATCGTACGAGATTTATGAATGTACGGAAAGTAGGCATTTTATCAACCTACGAAAGTCATACATGTTGTGCTTTGGAATCTGCCATTATGAATTTGAAGACATCAGGCAAATTGCCACATCGTGTGGCGGCTGAAATCGCGTGAGGTATCCCTACAGCCTTAATCTCAAGCTAATGTGCAGACTTCGATGATGTCACATGCACTCCAGTAAGGACTGCATACGGGTGGCCGGCGTCACAGGCGTAGCTATCTTACAGCGGAATTTACCTCATCTTCTAGGCACCGTAAGCACGCTATATCGAGCTGAAAAAGACCATAAAAAGCTTTGCGTTGTAACAAAGTGATAATTGCGTTTGCCAAAAATTAATTCTTTGAAAGTGTAGAGGAAAAGTTTGTAATTGTTATCTGCGTGTCAGCGACCGTTTGTTTTTGCATTACAGTTGTAGGTTACAGAAGCGTAACTGTCAGAGGATTAGCTTTAACAAAAGTTTTTATGTAGATATGTGATTTCATTCGAGCGATGAAATCACATATCTACATAAAAACTTTTGTTAAAGCAGAATAGCCCCAAATCCTCTGACAGTTCGCTTCTGTAACCTACAACTGTAATGCAAAAACAAACGGTCGCTGACACAGATAACAATTACAAACTTTTTCTCTACATTTTCAAGGAATTAATTTTTGGCAAACGCAATTATCACTTTGTTATAACGCAAAGCTTTTTATGGTCTCTTTTTAGCTCGATATAGCGTGCTTACGGTTCAGAATCAGTTCTTGGTTTTTCTTTTGCGCATTTACATCCCTGATTAAAGCAGTTTTTCAATAGGAAGTATACACATGCCTACGGTTGAACGTTTGATGCCCATTCTTTTTGCTCAACATTCTCATTTCCATTCATAGTATGTTGTAGCCGAAAACTTGCTCTTTCATGCTGCACTTTTTTGCATGAAAGGAGCATTTTTTGTGGAAAAGCAGAACAGATTAGAGCCGCAGCTGCGTTTACGCACAACTTCGTTGGGAGGAGATATTTTGCGGTTTTCTGAAGCCATAGTTAGAAATTTTAAATCTGCACCAAAATTATTCGATTAGTTATTGAAACAATAATTTATTATTAAAACAGATCATTTGAATTATCGCTGAGCTTATCTCAAACGAGTTTGGCAATCCAGAATACACGCGAAAATAATTTTGGTGCACTTTGTAAAACACAGGTTTCCATTGCATTGAGTGTGGGTGTCCAAGAGCGACCTGTTTGGGCGGTTATGAATAATTTCGTCCAAATTCGCCTTCCACTGCCGACAAAAAATTATGTAAAAGCGTAGCAAATACCGCAAACAGATTCAAAATCAGCGTTGGACAGAGGACGTTACAATGTATACGCGCCGTTATATAATATAGCTCGTGCTGCTTTCCGTGCGCGTGGAGCTTATTGGTGACCTTTGTCTCGTGCTCATCAGCGTTCGATGCCCCCCTCCCGCCAAAAAAACGCTCTTAACCACATTTGCGAAGGCCACCTTGACCAAAGACACTTACCCTGTTCATTCATTTATAAATACGACTACCAGTCTTTAGATGAAGAAATGTACTGAAAACAGGGTTATCTTATCGTTCTTAAAAGGAAGGAAAATACACTAGCGCTTTATTGAGAGTATACGAACACCGTGGAACACCTATTTTGCCGTTTTCTGTATTTTTTAAAAATGTGAGAAACCATTGGTACCATGTGAAAAAGTGTTAGCCGAAAACATATACGCAGCACGAAAATGAAATTTGGTCTCAATTTCAAAGAAGCATTGTGCGCCGAACGCTTTTGGTTCACAATCATACAAACACTTCAATCAGCGCTTTTTCCTCGCTTACCAATGCAACCTTTCGCGTTTAAATTCTTATGTAAGGCTAGGATCTCAAAATCTGAGATGCCTATAACGCGCTAAACTCAATAAAGTCTATAAAAAAGGGAACTTCACATCACTTTCACAGCTCAAAGTGGTTCGAAGCCAAGTCGGCTTCAAAAATGCCTGCTTTATTAATATTTCAAACCTTCCAGCTTATACGAATCAGAGATAATGGATCAATGGATGCGCTTTCAATGCTCAAAAGATCTTGATGTTATCGTCCCAGTTGTCAACTCAGTCCCAAACTTACCATAGATTTGACACACTTTTGAATCTAAAAACTCGACTTCTGCAGTGCGCAAAGTTCTGTGATGAGATAAATGCATTGTTTGTAGAATAATTTACCCGTGCTAAAGTTTATGAATTCTCCACAAAGCTATCCTCAAAGTTCCGGAGTTAAAAAGCAAGAGAAGAAATGCTTGCGATAATTTGCTTTCATTTTCATTAGATGCGAGTTCGTGATGGAAACGAAGTGCCCCACGCTCAAAAAAAATCCTGATGTAGTCCCAGTTGCCAGCCCAGTCCCAAACTTACCACAGGGTTGGGACAACTTCCGCCGTCCTCAAAGTTCTGTGGTGTTGCAAGCATATCGCGAACTTGATTTTGTGTATGTTGTACAAGATTTTGTATTTTGTTTGAAAAATACGCGGAGCACTTCGTTTCCATCACGAACTCGGCATCTAATGAAAATGAAAGCAAATCAACGCAAGCATTCCTTCTCCTGCGTTTTAACTCCGGAACTTTGAGGAGTATGAGACTGGGTTGGCAACTGAGACGATACATTAGGATTTATTTGAGCACTGAATAGCGCATTAATTGGTATCCCTGGTATAAGCTGAATAAAGGTTTGAATTTCAAAAGAGCAGGCAGTTTTGGAGCCGACTTGGTTTGGAGCCATTTCGAGCTGTGAAAGTGATGTAAAGTCCCTTTTTTCTTCATTACATTCAACGCTTAGTAGGCATTTCAGTACATTATGAACCGGCCAAAAAGCTTTCGGCGCACAGTGCTTCTTCAGGATTGACGCCGAATTTCAATTTTGTGCTGCATATACTGATCTGCGCTTTATCACATGGTACCAATGTCCTGCATCTTTGAAAATTCTGAGAAACGGCAAAATATGAGGTGTTTGTATGATTATGAACCGATCTTTAGTCTAGTAGTCTTCATTTCTAGCTATAAATTGTTTCCAGGTACTCATGGCCTTAGTATGTTACAGTCAAAACTTCTACGTGACTATTTGGAGAAGTTCAGATTATCGCCAACATCTCTGGCATCAGCAGATAAAGCTCTATAATGCTATCTTCGGTCGTTGTTGCCGTATGAAGAACGACGCGCATGTATTCGTAACGTCGCATGGGTTCAAAAGCGAGCACACATCTGCGACGCCAAATTGAAGGATTGACAATAAAATATTTGAATTGCCTGTTAGTCGTAGTACTCTGATTAAAGAATTCTCGGAATCAGTCGAATGCCAGCTTATATCACATTCGAATGCCAGCTTATACCAAACTTCATCGTGCGAAATGACAACTGAAGCGATTTTGCTTTTTTTCACCTACGGCGCATCATTCTAAAGCGAGTTTAGATCTTTATTTGCCTTTCGTATTATTACAATATTTGATACACAAAAAACTGATCCAAACTTTCAACGTGACCGGTTTTGCTGCTCTTTGCAAGTTGCAAGTGCCAAGCTTCTTCTGAAATTTGTCTCTCCATTTTGTTTCCTGTCTATCAAGCTACTGCCAATCATTCTCCGTTCTGTACGTCTTCTAGCAGCATTGAGTTGTTTCTCCATATTCTTCGTCAATGTCCATGTTTTCGCGCCGTAAAGTATTGCGGGAAGGATACACAAAAACAGTCTCCGCTTCCATTTCACCAGAAGCTTTTTCATCGGAAATTGCCATCCAATCTGTATACGCCGTTACTCTCTTTGCTACATTCAAGGGAGAGAGAAATGGTTTGTCCAAGACAAATATGTGACTTTACTGTTCGATTTTGTGCCTTAAGATTGTAACAGATGTATGCCCAAGTACTTTACTCTATAGGGGATTGATTTCCAAACCGTTTCTGCATGTGATATCGATCGTTTATTTATCTTCAAAGTCGTCAGCAAAGCGTAGGTTTATGAGCTGATTACCGTTTATGTATAATGATATCGGTAGCTGTCCAGATGATTTTTCGAAAAACATGTTGAAATGTAACAGTAAGAAGCTTGGGTGGAAGCCGATCTCCCTGTCGCACTCCTTTTTGAACATTCATAGGGATCGAAGTTCCACTATGGTATGGTTGATATGAACTTGTGTATATTTGACAATGGAGTGCTTAAGTCACCAATGGACTCCTTGTTCTTCAAGAGTCCATTAAGTTTCAACGGTATTAAAAGATTTTTCATGATCAACAAATACCATAAAAAGTAGTAAATTGTATTTACTTGTGCGCTCAATCAGTTCGTTCATAGCATGAAAATGATTAACCGTTTCACGTGGTCGCTCTTGGCCAAAGTGCTCTCTAATATTCCATTAATAACTTTGGCAAGCAGTGTGTAGAGTACCGGAAGCAAAGAGATCGGATGGTTATTGCGTAATTCATGGAAATCACCTTTCTTATGTAGAAGAGTGGCTGACGAATCTGCCATCTTCACTGGCACTGCGCTGGAGTAGAGACAATGATTTAATAGTTGTGTGATTAAGGGAACAAAATGATCTTTTCCTTGCTATCATCTCCGCAGTGATGCAGTCGTGCCCAGATGTTTTGCCCATTTTTCCTGAACCCAATGCCATGGATAATTCATCTTGCAAAAATGAAGCGCAGATCTTTTGTGAAAAGTGGCGTGTATGGTACATCAACAGCTCGAGCGTATATGCTATCGAAATAAGAAACCACTATTGCGCTGTACTTTGACTTTGTGTTACAGGTCTTCTTATTTCTCACCCCTTATTCGGAAAAACTTGTGATGTCTATATATCCTCCTTGGTTTTTTGCGCTACGTGAAGACGGTATAGTTTCTTCTGTGCAATGATGAAAGCGCATATCATTCTTTATTTCCGTTTGCGACCTCTGCGGGTTTTGAAGAAGGTGGACATCACACGAAGATTATTTTCTTCACAGAATTCGATGACCATCTGACCATAAACGTTTCTGAGTTATATACGCAGCATCCGACTGAAGTCTCAGCGTCGATCAATTTTGTGCCGAGTTTTGCATTTAGATCTCCTAGCACAATTATACGCACCTCTGTTAAATCTTTTTTAGACTCCATGCGGCAATCTTTACTGCTGTGGACCAGACTTTTCTGAAGAACTGTCTCTGCTTTGCTCCACTGCTCATCTTCGTATCCTATGTATTGAGGGTTTTAGCCTAAGAAGCTACCGCGTTTTTAGTCGTAGTCGAGTCGGAACAGACGAGTGTTCATAGTTGATCTTAGGGTTTCGTTTGGGCGGAACTTGTTCCGTTCGCTACAAATTAAGCTTCAAATGACCAAAAAATTCGAAGACGGTTGCATTTCTACAAATAAAAATCAATTTAAAAAACGTATGGCAGTGGCACTAATTCATCGTTCTCGGATTTCTGTTCGCCCTTCTCGATGAAGTAAATTTCGAGATGTCGTTGCTATAGTGATGCAGAGCTATATGTTGTCGAATGTTCTACCATAAATTGTCAAGCGCAATACTCAACTCTCAGATCGCCGTTGAAAATCTCGAAGAGCGAGCACCAACTGATTGCTGGAGTGGATAAATAAGCAAGTTGTTACCTAAGGCACCCGCCATACTTGATCCGCTTAATCCACATGATCCGCTTGATCCACTTCGTCATTGGTCGATTTAGTGAATTGAGCAATAGCGAAGCGGTTGGTCCGCTTGATCAGCTTAATCCACTTCATCCACTTCACTATTGGTCAGTTCACTGAATTGACCAATGATGAAACGGATCAAGCGGACCAAGTGGATTAAGCGGATCAAGTATGGCGAGTGCCTAAGGCGGTACAATCTCCGGTCGTTTTCGGGGGGAGGGGGAACTTATACAGGCGGACAGGCGAGAGCAATTAACCCGTAATTTACAACAAGATGATTACAGAAACTTGGATCACTGCAAAAATTCTTGACTCCGAGGTTCTTGGAAGTTTGCCGTACTGTCTTTTCGCTCCGATAGGAGCTGCCGAAGGGGTTGTAGAGTATGATGCTAAATTAAAGCAAATAGCAAATTCGAATGGCAGATGTGCTAAGCGCGCAAGTCATGCATTCAGTATCTGGTTGCATATAATTTGTCACGGTTTACCGCCCACCAAATCCAAATAAAGAAGATGATAGCAGCTTGATAGATTACTTGAGTTGCCTGTTGTTGGATAATACACAAATCTTGGTGACTGATTCCTCTTGGTGACTTCAACCAGCAAATTCACTAGAAATGAAATCATTCAATGCTGTTTCTGCTCCCTTCTTAGATTTTGGCACTAATTTTTCCTCAAAGCAACACGTTGCTGTGCCTGCCCATCATAGGTGCGAAGGCCTGAGATGGGTACCCTCCAGAGTGAAGGGGGTCTCGGCTGTTTTTGACCCTCAAAAGTGAAGGGGGTCCAAAAATTGCCGACGTCGACCGAGGGGGGGGAGGGGGAAGTAGAATTGAAAAAAAATAAATTTTCACTTTTTTAACTTTAATTTTTTTGAATTTTAATTTTAACAATTTTCCAATTTTTTGATTTTAAATTTTTAAAAATTTATTTGTATAAATTTTAACATAGTTAGTAAAATGTTTTCAAATACTTTTTTTGATAAATATCATTTCATTATCATGTACCATAATGCGGGAAACAAAGCAAAAATCGGGACCGGACCCCCCTCACTGAGACGAAGCAGGTGCTGAGGTGAGAAAATACTTAGTTTAAAGTTGAGATATCTTATTTTAGAAATCCAACTTCAAGAATTTCATGGGACGAGCGGCAATGAGTCGGATGGAAGGGCGCATGGTCATGAAATGAATGGCTGGAGTGGAGCCTTCACGTAGGCGTGTTCTACGAAACTCGGAAAAAGACATTTTGTGGTTGTACTGTGGGTATAAATTAAATAATTTGCCATTGTATTGTGTGTATAAGGATAGACGATAAATGGAAATGTTGCACACAATCAAAGATGTAGATAGTGAGTGAGGTTTGGTTGAGACAAGTTTGAGTTGCCAACTATATACCCCCTTCGAGCCAAAAAAATTCCATATCTCGGTAGGGGGGTCCTCTCATAACCCGATTTCTTTTTTATCTTGTCGAAGAGAGTGTAATGGATATAACTCGGGCTGTCGCAAGAGAATCTGCTGAAGCAGACCTTCTTGAGCTTGAATTTCACACAAAAATCTATGCGTCTTTAACTCGGTACTGTTGCTCTCCTTCCTTACAGCAGATCCTTTTGCGACAGCCCTACTTATATCAACTAAAAATCCCTCTACGATGGTGAAAAAAGTAGATCACGAGAGGACCTCCTCGCTGAGATATGGACCGTCAAATAGAACCACCCAAAATCGATTTTTTTGCTATAACTCTTGTGTAAATAAACAAAAATAAACAAGGAGCTGTATTTAGAGTCCACTCTTCAAGAGCTTTCGAATGATATGTAATATGTGGAGGTTCCTTGTTTTTTTTCGCCCTGCGACAGGGGTTGAGACGATTCAGTTATGGCTTCTCAGCCCCGCCCACTTTAATGCATATGGAGGGGGGGGATAGACCTGAGATCGCATAACTGAATCGTCTCAACCCCTGTCGCAGGGCGAAAAAAACAAGGAACCTCCACATATTACATATCATTCGAAAGCTCTTGAAGAGTGGATTCTAAATACAGCTCCTTGTTTATTTTTGTTTATTTACACAAGAGTTATAGCAAAAAAATCGATTTTGGGTGGTTCTATTTGACGCTTCATATCTCAGCGGGGAGGTCCTCTCGTGATCTACTTTTTTTCACCACCTTGTAGAGGGAGGTTCACTCGATATAAGTAGGGCTGTCGCAAAAGGATCTGCTTTAAGGAAGGAGAGCAACAGTACCGAGTTAAAGACGCATAGATTTTTGTGTGAAATTCAAGCTCAAGAAGGTCTGCTTCAGCAGATTCTCTTGCGACAGCCCGAGTTATATCCATTACACTCTCTTCGACAAGATAAAAAAGAAATCAGGTTATGAGAGGACCCCCCTACCGAGATATGGAATTTTTTTGGCTCGAAGGGGGTATATAGTTGGCAACTCAAACTTGTCTCAACCAAACCTCACTCACTATCTACATCTTTGATTGTGTGCAACATTTCCATTTAT